ATGAAAATATTGTATTATATTTTTTCCAACTTTTTAAAATATTTATTGCCATATGTAATATAGTAGCGAAACAAAAATTTATAAAACCCATTACTATTATGATTACCTTAAAATAAAGCGATTTTTTGTATACATGTTAAACAAGTTCGTAAATATTAAGACCTTCCTCTATTTGTAACTGTCAAACAGGATGCTACATTGTATTGCGCAACTTCTTGATTAAAAGTAGTTTTAGATTGAAATGAGAAAACCATTTATTTTATCTAGTGAACGTTGCGAATGATAAAGACGAAACAGAATTGTAATCGCATACGTGTAACGATAATACGATACGTGACCACAAACACAAAGAATTACATAGGTATATGTATATATATATATATATATATCGTACAACAATATATCTACAAAGTGACTTATTAGATAATTAATTAAGTTATACGTTTGATATTTCTGTTATCTGTCGGCTCCTATAATTCTAACTTGTATGGAGTTACGTGGATCGACCTTGCCATTTAACCGGGCCTTATAAATCCATATGCAATGCGATCAAAGACCCTCGTGTATTATTCAAAATGTTACACGTTGAATTTTTACGCGTCAAAGACAAAATTGATGTCACAATCTTTCGTTCCATTCGTTACGAAAAGAACAACGTTGTTCACATAGATGCATGATAATGACGAAACTCTTTTGTGAATAAAACGACAATTTGTGAACAATTCATTGTGTGCTACGTGTTTATAAAATAAGCGTATTATCCGTGGTATTGTTGAATTGTCTAGAGAATGGTATCAAATAATGAATTCTGATCACGTTTTGTAAATATTTAATAAAGTCCTTTGATTTCATTGTTCCGTTCATACGTTCAGTAGTAACAACATACATTATTGCAACCTTTTTGCGAAATATAAATATTTAAAATGTAGACAAATTATGCAGAAATATTAGAAGTTTTTTATAATGGGGATTATAATGTAAATAAAAATGCATATGAAAAATAAACTCAATGGATAAAAAATACAAAGTTTCACACTTGCATTTGAATAATATATATTAACAGAGTGTGCAATTTGCAAAGAAATGTGTTTTGACTCTCTTTACCAGTGCAAAATATTTCAATTCTTTTGCATTTTTTCCTTAGAATAAACATCTTCAACTGTATACAACATAAGT